AGGTGAAGAAGTACTTGTCACAGAGGTGGCAACATTTAGAGACTGATTAAAGTTCTACCTGATGGTGAAGCGTGCCAGAAAAGAATGCTGCATACAGAATGCTGACATGAGCGAAGGCAGGAGTGGAATGAAGCACAGTGTGGTCCATACTGGTATAAAGTCCAAAGTGCTTAGAAGACTTTGAGAAATCCAGTGAGAGAAGTGAACTCTGTGAAAGGCCCTGGAAGCTGTGTACGAAATTTGGGTTTTACTTAAAAAATAGAAATGTCAGCTGGGTGTGGTGGCGCATGCCTGTATTCCCAGCAATTGGGAGGCAGAGGCAAGTGGATCTCTGTGAGTTCAAGGCCAGCCTGGTCTACATAGTGAGCCCCAGGACAGCTGGGGCTACAGGGAGGCCCTGCTTCAAAAAGACAAAAAAAAAAAAAAAAAGTAAAAATGCCAAACAGGCCTTTTAGATTTTATGCTCATTATTTTGACAATATTGTTGCTTGAACTCTGAGTCACTGCCCTTCTTTCCTTTGAAAGGAAACAAAACTGAACAGTAATACTCACTGTCCCAGTCTAGTCATGGGGCATTCGCTCCTTACAGCCCTGCTTCTCTCCGTAGGTTGTCCTGGCCTTGCTCTCCATCTCCTTAGACCCAACTCATTTTAGGCATGTAATGAAGTAAATAATTCAGTCTTCACCAGAACACAGAGAAATTGGTAATTTTATCATTCCTTATTTACAGAGAGGGAAGCTAAGGCAATGTGTTTGAGATCCTGCCCCCCCACTAATAACTTAGGAAACTAAATTTGAGATCTAGATGACACAAGGAGTCATACTATCTCTTGGGGTGTCCCCCACCATTTACAGAAAGGTTATCACCCCTTCTCCTGTGCATCTACTAGAACTAAGTGCTAACAACTTGGAAAGCATCATCTCTAAAAAGCTATCACACAGCTTGTTCAGAGGAGAGGACAGCAGTCCTTGATACTTTAAATCCAATTCTTCCATTTGCACATGGGACGGAGTTCTTGAGGCTTCTCTGAGCTTAATTTTTCTCATCTTTACCAGTGTGTGTGTGTGTGTGTGTGTGTGTCTGTGTGTGTGTGTGTGTGTGTCTGTGTCTGTGTCTGTGTCTGTGTCTGTGTCTGTGTCTGTTGTCAGTCTCTGTGCAACTTTCAGGTCAAATTATTTATGATTCTATAAATTTATAAAGACAAATACAGTTGACAACTCTCAGTTGAAGTTTCCTTACCAATCTCAAACTTAAAAATGTCATATTATAGTTCTCATAGAGAATATATAAACTCTCACAAAGAGGTGAATAAGTACATGCTAAGCAGAAGAAAAAGAGCACCAATATCCTCTGGAGAAGATTAGTACAGGTAAGTAGCCTCTAGAACACAGAATGACACTAGACCACTTGGACATTTATATCTTAAAGTGCTTTATAATTAAAAGGAAAATTAATTCATTATTGTGAGTAATATGAATATGAATGTGGAATCCAAATTTCAGTATCTATAAATCAAGGTTTTTTGGAATAGGGCCACAGCCATTCACACTGTAATAGCAGAATTGAGCAATGATGAAGAGACCATACATCTCCAAATTCCTAAAATGTTTACTATCTTGCCCTTAATGGGAAAAAGTTGGCTGACCCTTCCCAGGTCTTATTAAATCAAAATTAAAGATTAAAGTCTTGTTTTTATAGGAACTTCTGATAACGTGGTTATCTACCAGGTGACTGTTTAAAAGAGCCTTACATGAGTTTGTGAACAATCTGGCACTGTTACATAGTAGCATATATGATATCTCCATGAAGAAATGCTAAGTTCAAAGTCTGCTGATTTTTTGTAGTACATGCAGTAGCAATTACTATATGAACACTGCGAATTTTTTACAGGACCATGATATAACCAGTTAGAGTTGAGTATTTATGTAAAGTAACCTTGGCAACATATAAAAGTACTTCCTTTCTTTGTATTTCTTGTTTATAACTGTCTTTTCCAGTTTAGCAATAAAAAGTATATCAAGAATATATAACATCAATTATATAATATTGGTAAATAACTTCATCCTACTTCCTTCATGCATGACCGCATTGGTGCACAGAGCTAACTGATTGTTTAGGGATAAAGGCCAAAATACTTGCATGAAGATTGTTTTTCAACTCAGGTTTCTAGGACCTATCCAAAATTGTGTGCCTTGCTCTCCACATCAGATGTTTGTTCTGACTGATTTTGGAACCTGCATTTGATTTCCTAAAGGTCTTCAAGTCTAAACATGCCCCGTATTTTTGAAATGAAATCCTTTAGAGAAAGTTGATGCAAATAACTAACAACTTATTTATTATGCACTTTGAGAAAGTAGTTGTTCTCGAAAACTGAAATCCTAGGATAACTGAAGGTTATCCTTCCATAGAAGCCATGTAACAGAAGTTATTTTGAAGTGTAATCAATGTTTTTGTCCTCTTTATAAGGTTATATTGAACATGTTTTAGTCTTTCTTTATAACTTTGACATCATTATAAGCATCAATTATTGTGCTATGGTATAATATTATACTATGCTCTAATTGTGCCTTTGGGGGATACAAAGACAGATAAGAATGTTTACCTCTTTATTAAATGGCCATAGATTCTTGTGCTTTTTGAGTTCTGACTTTGCTGTGCTCCTTTCCATGGACTTTCGTGCCAATAATTTTCACAGCTCAGTGCTTTTTCCCAGTGGCATGGCCTCTAGTAGTAAGTCCCCTTCCTTGACATCTGGAATTTCCTAGCGGGTAAGGATCATCTTAGAGATCTTTCGTCAAAAGGCAGTTAGTTCTCTAGTGACAGGGAGACCAAAGACTGCAGTGAGGACGTATGAGAAAGACACAGTGATAGAGTATAGGACGTAGTCCTGAAATCTGTTGTTTTGGTTTTGGTTTGGTTTGGTTTGGTTTTTTAGACAGGGTTTCCCTGTAGCCCAACCTGTCCTGGAACTCACGATGTAGACCAGGCTAGCCTGGATCTCATAGAGCTCTGCCTGCCTCTGTTTCCTGAGTGTTAGAATTAAAGTCACGTACCCCCATGCCCAGTTATTATTTTGTATAATAACCAAGCCTTAAGCTGTTATCATATTTTTTCCTTTGTCATGGATTAACTTTATTCTTCGATAATTTCTTGGTTATGTGTCCACAGTGTGTTTTCTACTTTTGCTCCCATTCCCTCTTACATCTCTCCCACAGCTGCCATACCCTCTCCCATACAGGTCTTTTTCCCAAATTCATGCCTTTTTGTTTTGTTTTGTAACCAAGAGCATACTAATGTAACTAATACCTGTGTGGCTGCAGGTTAGGAACTACACCTTGGATCTTGGTGGGCTCACTGTTGGACACAACTGAAGGCAATGACTATTCCTCTCCCAGAATCCATCAGTTACCAACAGTTCAGCAGAAAGGTGAAGGGCTCCACGTGTCCTTCCCTGATCTTTGATTGGTTTTGGACATTCTCAGTCTCATGCAGACTCAGTGCATGTAGTCACAGCTGCTGTGAGGTCCTGCTTGCAATTGTTGTGTCATGTTCTGAAGATAGCATTGAGATAGCCCTTCTCACTATTTTCCGGCTCTTACATTGCCGAATTCTCTTCTGTGCTGTTCCCTGAGCCTTAGAGGGGGTGATGTAAATGTCTTCTTTAGGAGTGAGACCTCAACTGTTCCTTATTCTCAACATCTTGAGCAGTTATGAATCTCTGCATTCGCCTTCACTCACTACAAAGAGAAGCTTATGACCTCCTCCTCCACGGGTTGTTGACCAGGTTTACAGTACCAAACAAAAATATTTTAAAGGAAGTTCTCCATCAGTAAATGAACAGAAGTCGTTGGGCAGCAAACTGCATGGCTTTGTGACAACTGTTTATGTAAGAGACCTTTCCTACTAGTTGTTGAGTTAACTGTAGTTTTCAAGAGTAGTGATCATTACAGAAGACAAAGGTCTTGGGAAACAGACTTAGGCTGAAAAGACTGAAAAATTGGCTCTCAGTGAAAGAAGAGCACAGTCATATTATTCTTGCTTATTTTTTTAAAAGACACATTATGCTTTGATCTTCTTTATACTCTGTGGAGTGGCAAGATGAAATCTAAAGAATGCATTACTTAAAACGGTGACTGATAAACGTAATTCTTACATTTGCTTTCTTTTCAATGCTGGTGATGGAACTAAGGGCCTTTCTTGAATTAATTGCCTCTGATTTTGCTCTGTAGTCCTTGCCAATTTTCTGCTGAACCCACACAGTACCCAGTAATGTGGGTAACCTGAGCATCAGTGTAGGGCTTTTGCCTGCCGCTTTTCTCAGGATCTGCACAGGTGTGGCATACTCCCACCAAGACTCCTGAGTGCAAGCCTAAATTTCACAAAACAGTGAATGAATTACATGAATGGTAACATTAGGATCAAACTTAAATCCTTTCAATAACATGATCTACCAATATATTTCAAATTGCTTCCTACACTACAACAGAATTATAATAACGTTTTAAGAGCACAAGTATTGAACAAAACAACATGCATTTACTGCACATGAGTCATAGTTAAAGCAGAATGTTGGAGTGGTTTTTATAAAAGTGAAAATTTGGCATATTAATTACAATCTTGTTTACAGTTTTACAAAAACCATGATCATGTGTTTGCTTGAATCAAGTTCCTTTGACTTCCTTAGAGGCATCATTGCTTATTAAGGGACAATTTATACATCTGCATTTTACACATATGGGTCCATGTGGCACACATTTCTAAATAGAATGTTACTTATAATTATAATAAAATGGTATTCCTGATCTTGTTGCTGCAGTCTTTGCTGGCAAGTGTTTATCCTGCAAGTACAGGTAGAGACAGAAGTCAATTTGATAGAATTGTTCATCGTGATTTCTTATTTGTAAACATTAGTCGGTTGATGTCCTCAGCAACAGCAGTCACTTTTGCTCAACCTGTATCATTTAACTAATGTTCATGTTGTTTATGCTTTTCCTTATAGGAGTCGCAACATCTGACCCCAGGATTTACCTTACAAAGTAAGTGTTTTTTCAATTCCTTCTTAACCTTGGCATCCATACCTTTGCTTCCCTCTCTTCTTCCTCATTCCTAATTATCATTAAAATATGAAAAAACACCCAAAATTGCATTGTGATGTGCTGTAACTAGTTTCCTTTCATCATCTATTATTAATCAGGAAGCTATGAAACTATCAGGAAGGGCTGCATGTTTAGGAAAAAAATTAATTCTGAACAATCTTTCGATAATAGATATATGAACGGTAACTGTTTGTGTCCTTTCTATTCAGAGTGGAGCGACCCAACCGGCAGAGCTTCTACAAAGTCAGTATCATTCAAGTTGTGAGTACATGGGTTCCCAAACCAGGATTATTTGGGGCATTTTGGCAAATAAATAGCACCTCAATGCTAAGCTGGTTTCCCTCTGTTCTTTCTTTTGTGAGACTATGAACTTCTACTCCTAGTAATGTACACTCTAGTTACTAGAGAAAATATAATTTCATATTGCCTTAGTCCTTTCCAGCTGCTATAACAAAATGCCATAAACTTAGAAACTTATTAATAAGAGTAGCAGTTTCTAATAGTCCTATATTCTAAGAAGCCAGAGGTCAAGCCACAATTAGAAATAGTATTTGAAGAGATAGCCATATTGTCACTGTAAGCTCACAATTAGTGAGAGCTTTCTCTGGAGTAGCTCTTACACAGGAATTAATTTCATTTATGAAGGCTCACCCTCATGACCGAGTTACCTCTCCAAAGTCCCACCTGCTGGTAGTATCATCTTCTTGGGATGTTAACGTAAAATGTATCAGTGGATAAAAGCATACAAACTAAAGTATCCAAAGTCAAGAAGTAAGATTATAGATGAATGTGGTCAGTAACAGTTCTGTACTGATGTAGACAGTGCTAGGTCAATGTCTGAACATGATTGTGATGTCAGAGCAAAGATTCGAGATATTTGTTCCCTGCAATTTGTCTAGCTATAGAGCCTTAGGTTCCTTCAGCTGCATACATCATATTAAACAATAGTCATTTATTAGAGTGGGCAAGGGAGATATCTAAACCAGCAAGACTGAACATGAAATGCGATGTTGCTTACTATGGCCAGTTAGTCCAAGACTTCACTGTTTGCAGATCATCTGCCATCTGTATATTAAAGCCAAGCAAAGGCAGCCAGGAAGAGAGAGAATAAGAGATTACATGACACTAGATTGAAGTTTAGAAGTCAGGGCCCTGTAATTCATTTTGCACTGTCTTCATTTTTTTTAGTGTCAACTAGAAGAGGAGTTTGGAGAAACCAATTTCCTCTGATTAACTATTGTAGATTTTTAATATCCATTTGCCCAAGAGTGTATCAAGGGAGTATTACTGTCACAACTTCTTTCCTTCCTGATAATAGAAAATGGAAGTCGACTTTTCTATGTGAGAAATAGTATGTACTTGAAATTTTTGAAAATGAAATAATTTATGACACACAAGTGGCCTAATGGCACACTTGAAGTGAATTGCTCACCTTTTGGAAGATCATGAATAATCACATAAAGCAACTGGGAATGACTCCAGATAGACTGAGACTCCTATATAGTCAGCCGTGTTTCTACTACACGTTCTTTTTGCAATGTAGTCATGAAACATGAAAGGCCTGACCTGCTCACTGGTTTTCTTTCTTGGTTGCCTGGTCTGACCTGTGCCTTCCAGCAAAAAGTGAGCTTCAACAAAGAAGGTTCCTCAGTTTTACAATGTAAGGCAAAACAAAAAAGCAGGATAAACAAAACCATAGCTTTGATTTAAGGACCAAATTTTACAGAAGCATGGAAATCAAAAAAAATCTCTGATAGTGTACGTTTCATTTTTTCCCATCAATCACATAAAGTTTCCTTCTAGTTATTCTGAATGAACCATAGATCTTACCTCCATGATATCACCATACCTTACCTTCCTCTTATTAAAAACAACGCACATTTAGGAAGTCAGTGCACGTTTACAAATACGAAAGAATCTAAAATTATATTTTCAGAATGAAATGTCTTACTCTTAAGCATGCATATTAGACTTCCAGTGTGAAATATGCTGCTTTCCATCCATACCATAGAATGAAATATTTCAGTAGTCTATACTTAACAGAAATAAACTTGTAAATGGTGGTTTATAGTTACAGGCTATACTTTATAGAACAGTACTTTATAGCATGGTATCTAGTGTAGTCAGTAAGACTAAAATTCCATGTAGTACATGTCAGCAAGACTTGAAGTTACCAAGCCCATTTTGTGAATGAGTTTCACCTTTTTTGGACATTCAGCCTAAAATCCAGGCACTGTCCATCGGCTTGTGCTTGCAATAATTCCCTTCTTATGGCCAGATATGAGCTTAACACAAAGATCAGAATTGTAATAAAACTGTTTTTATCTTCAGCCTCCAAATTATTACCATCTCAGCCATTATTATTTTTCACCAATATTTTATGATGGTGTGTTTTTAAGCCAATTTCTAGGATTTTCCAGTAGACAGGGTAACTCTCCAGGTTATTAAGAACATTCTGAGTATAGACAGACTGGCAACCTGTGGAACTTGGTAATAAGCAACTTCAAAGATGAGAAAGATACCCACTCAAGACCAGCAGCTCTCTGAGGTATGTTCTCTGCCACTTAGTACAGTGGAGAGAGATTATACCCTTATAAAACAGAATCCCTTAATTCCCCAGACATTCTATTTTCTTCAACTTGACTTATTTTCCCTGATTGACAAGTTGCAGATCTTCCATTCAAGCGTAGGTTCCTTATAAGTGCTTCATGCATGGGCAGCAAGCCAGGGAACACTGGCCGTGGTGGGTCTGAGTGCAGCCTAGTAAGTACCCAGGGTCTTTCTTTGTTCTTGACATTTGCTACTCTCCCTGATCCAAAACCCAGCACATGACAGGCCTTTTGGAAAAGTGGATATTCTTTGATTCACTAAGTATACTTTGTTGCTATCTAGTGTTTTGTATAAGATGTCTGTCCATCAGTGTTCTGATATACTGAATATATAATATAGCTGAATGTGTATATGTCCATGAGACAAGGTAATTAGACTGTGAGAAGTTGGGGGACAGAGTTTAGGCCTTTGCTAAACCATAATCATAGTATTTGGGGGAATTACTGATATTAGATGTAGAAGATGCTGGTTTAAATCATAGTTGAATTCATCTTTAAAGTACACAGAGTCCCTTAAAGCAAATTAAACAAATCAATGAGCAGATGTACATTCACATATGAGTACCCACACACGTTTGTTAGCAATTACACTTAACTACATAAAAGTACATTTAAATTTAATAGTTAATAATTTTAGACGATAGAAGACCTGGCGCTCAGCGCCCACCCCCCACTGCCAGCTCTCAGCCTCTGTGAGTCTCAGTTATGCTATCATCTTTGAAACAGTCTTAACTCAAGTCTTCTAAATTCAATAGATTTTGTAGTCTCCTCCCCAAATGGATTGTATCCCAGCAAACAGAGTGAAGCATGACCTTAAGATGCTCAAATTATTTTTTCCTAGGACTATAGAGCTATGCATTTGAAGATGAGTAGTAGGTCCATTAGGTGTATAAAAGCATGTAGTTGATTCAATTACTATGTTCAGGCTTTCAGCGAGTTTCATGTTACTTTGCAGATACTCAAGTTAGCCGTTAAAGAGCAATAGAGAAGACAAGAACTTGGATTTTCTTTGTTAAGTTGTATGACTTGGTTTAATTGTTTATTGTATATTGCAAATTACTTGCACTATAGTATCCTTACTTATCTCCTTACTATTTGATTTGGTGAGGCATCAAAATAACAACAATAACAACTGAAAAAAATAAGAAACAGATAACACATGTTCATTTGCCCCTAGAATTCTCCGATAGCTTCGATGAACTCGTAAGGGTTCATGCAGATAGCCTTTGACTTCGGTTAGCTTGCTGAGTACTGTTGAAGATGGCAACTCCAGATATCAAGTTCCTGTGTTAAACTTTGTTGCTGGCATTTGAAATCTGTCCAATTGGAAACCATTCAGTACCCCTCTTATCCAAGAAGCTCTGTGTTTTAAGGCATGCTATTGAGAAAGTCTGGATATTTTCCATACAAATGTAAATATAAGGTCAGATATAATCAGAATGCTATTTTTCCTTGCCATAAAACCAGCACCTCCACTTCTAGTATTGACTTCTAGTATTGACTATAGTTGATATAGATGAAAACATCAACTATGAATCCAGAGAGTTGATGAAAGGCCATATAGAGCCAGACTGACTGTGGTGAGCCATAGGTCTCTTGTGGATAGTTAAAATGTGTGCTGCAAGAACAAATGCTTGCATATAGTTCTAGGAAACAGGGAAGGAAGCTACGTTATTACAACAATGGTTGAAATCTTAAACAAGAACCATCGTGCTTTGGAGCACACCTGCCAGGCTATTGGATACCCATTGTCCTGTTAACTTTACCAGCCACCCTAAAGCTAGAATGCAATACCTCCCCTTAAAGTTTATGCATTCCACTTAAAAGACAAATTAACCATGCACCCTAAACTCAAATTGACATTTTGACTACAAATACACCAAAGAGTTATCTAAGTAAGACTGTTCTTTGGTGAGAAAGTTCAAATGCAGCCTGAGTGCCCTGGAGATTTAAATAGCCCTTACTTCCCACTGGGCTGTCTTTTTACATGTGATTTGATGCGTATTTATAAATTTAATATACCAATTTGGCCTGTTGGCTAGGCGTGGTGGTACATGTCCATAACCCTAGCACTGGAAAGTGGAGACTGAAAGATCAAATATTTGAGGCTAACAGCAGCTATATAATGAGGTGGAGGCCAGGCTTAGCCACATGAGACCCTGTCAAAAAGAAAAATGAAAGAAAGGAATTGTTCTAGTTTCTTTCTTATTGCTATGATGAAAACACTGACCAAATCCAACTTGGGAAGGAAAAGGTTTATTTGACTTACACACACAACATATCATCAAGGGAAGCCAGGTCAGGAACTCAGGGCAGGTGTCTGGAGCACAGACCTTGGAGGATAGCTGCTTACTGGCTTGCTCCCCTGGCTGGTGCTCACTCTGCTTTGTTATACAACACAGGACCACCTGCCATCAGTGGCACCTCCCACAGTGGGCTGGCCCTTCCCACATCACTCAACAGTCAAGAAAATGCCCCACAGACATAGCCATATGGCAGTCCAATGGAAGCAATTCCCCAATTGAGGCTCCCTCTACACAGGTGTGTCAAGTTGACAACTAAAGCTATCCAGCACAGGAATAGAGGCAGAATGAGAGTGAGAACAAGAGCAAGAGCAAGAGTGAGAGGCAGAGA